CTCTTAGGGGGCAACTCAGCTCACTCAAAACTCCTTGCTCAGAATAATCTTGAAGCAGAACGAGTCTCTTTCCTATACTTTCTTAGAGGACTTATAAAGATCAGCCTCTTAAACTGGGGACCAGAGTCACTTGCTGAAATCTAGGTGCAGCAAATATCCTTCATGTATGCAGCTCATTCAGCAATGAGTCATAATTCCCAGGAAATACAAGCTATACAAATCATTGCGTATTTCTACAGATAATATTATAAAAGCAGTTAAGATTAGGACAGGTAAACAACTCAAGATAGAAGTATTACAACCCTGACTGTCAGGTGTAAATGCGGCAGTTCTGAAGGCCATTTCAAAGACAATTATTTCTGTTGGAAAATAAAACCCTTAACAATGCATTTTTTTCTCACTTGGCCGAGCAAGAAGTGTACTTTTAGAATAGTTTTGAGTACATGTCGCATCACTCATGGCTAAAAAATATTTTGATCACCAATTATAAATTTTAATGTCTACAGTGGAATTTTTGTAAGAGTCATATTATTAGTATGGGATTGAGGGACCAGCTAAAAAGGAGGGGAAAATTAAGCAGTGCCAAAGGGTGCCAAAACTATCAGGTCCATGTAACGTAAGTGTCAAAACTATCAGGACTATGTAACGTTATTGCTTCTTCATAATAGATTTTTTTTCTTATATTTTGTTAAAAATCCCAATATAAATGCTATCATCACGCTTTTTGTGTCGTCATCAATATAGAAAGGAATTGGAATACTTGAGATAGGTGGTCCCGAAGACTGGAGTAGCAGATATGGGATGGCATGAAATTTATTTGTACAAAATCTCAAGATCATCCTACCAGGATGTAATGGAAATTACTTTTTTCGACAGTTAGTTCAAACAGTTAGCCTGAAAAGACTGAAGAAAAGAAGTATCTAGATGATAATGAGTCATGAACCACTATGAAAACAGACAAACACCATCTTGTGATATTAAACATTGAAATAGGCTTTTCTTGCCATCCACCATGATAAGGCAATTTTTACTGAAGCCCAGGGCCCTACTGGTGAAAATGACTCCATTCACAATGAATTTACACTTCAGTAAGAAGCCAAATGCTGTGTCCATCCTGCATTGTGGAGCCCAGAATTGGAGCCAGCACTCCTGATGGGTCTCGTCAGTTTAAGAAGAGGAAGGATCACCTCCCACCACCTGCTGGCAAAACATCGTAGCCCTGGAGGCTGTCGGTTTTCTTTGCCAGAAGGGCCCATTTCTGTCTCATATTCAATTTGTTGTCCACCAGGACCCCCAGAGCCTTTTCTACAAAGTCGCTTTCCAGCCCATCACCCTCCAGCCAGTACTTGAGCATGGGGTTGTTCCTCACCATGTGCAGAACTTGGCACTTCCCTTTGCTGAACTTCATGAGATTCCTCTTGGCCCTGTTCCCCAGTCTGTGAGGTCCCTCTGAATGGAAGCACAACCAGCTGCTGTATCCAGAACTTCTCACATTTTTTTGCATTACCTGCTAACTTGCTGGAGGTGCATTCAGTCTCACTGAATTAATGAAGATGCAAGCAATACTGGCCAGTACCCACACGCAGGGTATACCAGGAGGGACTAGTCTCCAGGTATGAACACAACCCTCTCATCCCAGCAGTTCAGCCAGTTTTCAGTACACCTCACTGACCACTGTTGCATTCCACACTTTATCAGCTCATCTACGAGGATGTTATGGGAGACTGTCAAAAACCACAATAAAGTAAAAGTGAACAACACGCACTGCTCTCCATCTACCAAATCAGTCATTCCATCACAGGAGTCTATCAGGTCAGTTAAGCACCATCTCCCCTTTAAAAATCAATGCAACTACTTTCAAACACCTTCCTGCCCTTCATGTTTCTGCTAATAGTATCCAGGATTAGTTGCTCCATAACCTTCCCAGGTACCAAAGTGAGGCTGAGTGGTCTGTAGTTTCTTGGATCCACCTTCCTGACCTCTTTGACAACAGTAGGAGTGACATTATCTCTCTTTCAGTCCCCAGGAACCCTATCTTCATCAAGGGTGGAACAAGTCTATGGCATGGGCAGTTTAAAAGAGCTAAGCTGAGATCTGCCTAGCTCAACAGCCTGGGAGCTCTGCTTCTCTTTCTAGGTGCTTGGAAAGGTTGCACAGTGATCCAAAGTTAGGTTCATCTTTGCTAGGTAACAATAACTAGGAGCTTCAGAGGGCCCAGTGCAATGGCCTAATGTCTCAGTGACTCATAGGTGGCCACAGGAACAGTGGTGCTAATGGAAATGATTCCAAGGTGGCTCCACACTACAGCTAGACATTACATCACCCTTCCTAAACAAACACAGATGTGCAAGGACTGGATTTGAGGATACATTTAGCAAGCAAAAACATAAGATCATAAATCTAACAACAGACTTCTACAGTAGAACACAACCAGAGCCAAGGTATACCTCCAAAATCAGGTGAAGATGATGAAATTGGGACACAGCAACTGTGCACCTAAGAAAGCTGAGTGACTGCTTCTCAGCTTTTAACTTTCAGGCCTTCTACTCTTTTCTTTTGAAATGGATAATGAGAAACTAATTGGATTTCTCTGGAACTTTCAACTCTAAGTACACATTACCAATTTTCTTGAGTTTATAGGCTATGTCCACTGATAAATCATTACATACATGGTGGCCTAGGAACTCTCAAGTGGATTTTTTTCATGCCGTAAAATACCTGCCTCTCCAATGACAGCAAATAGGAGAGCTACATCATCAAATTCGGACTGAAAGAGAGGAAAAGCTGGAGAACAGAAGGCTGATTTATAAGGCCAGCTTCCAGCAACTGAAAAAAGTTCAGGAATTCTACAACAGGACCTCAACAAAACAGCATAAACGTGGTCCCAGAACAGGATAATCAAGAAAAGGAAGCCAGGAGATTTTAAGATGAGACTCAGGTGACCAATCATTACATAGCCTATGTTTTAACCTTGAATCAAATTTGCATGGTACTTCTATGCAGACTCACACTGACATAATTTACTGTGCGCAGATTCAGGCTCAGTTCTGAGCTCAGGCTTTTTGCAGTTCCACAGTCTTTCTGGATTAAGCAGACGGCAATTCTGTACCATGTAAAACATACAAATCCAGCCTGATGCTTAAATTTAAGCCAACTGCATAGGTTTTTACTGAAATGCCAGGCAAGAGAAACTACTACTCATTCCACGTACACTTCTACTGAGTCAAACAAAAATTTAAATAATTATTTTTTAATATATTATTACTATTATCCTCAAAAGATAAAGAGCAAATCAGAAATTTCTCCAAGATCAGAACTGAAGACTTCTGTATTTACTGCTACCATACGAGGAGTGTTTTAGTTTTTTTTCCTTCTTCTCATACAACTGATAATTAAAATGGTCTTTTAAATATTATGTTCCGTTAAAAAAAAAATCTATCATCCTCAAAGCATGAAAGAAAACACACCAATAATACATCAATGCTAATCTACTACATTTCACATCTGATGCATTCCTTAGATGTAGTGGATTTTTTCTTAAATTGCAATATTGAGTCAAGCCATTTTCAGTTATTTTAAATAAAAGACATCAGCCTAAGCCATTTATGAAGAATTGATGTTACTATATGCTAGTTGAAGAAAGTAACTAATCCATAAGACATGGGAGTTTTTAGTTTTAATAAATATTCTTAAATTTTTGAAACAACATCTGGTACCACTGTTTTCAGTTAGTAGCATCCAACTCTTGCAGGAATCTGTGGGGTTCTTTTGTGGGGTTTTTTTTTTGTCATTGTTGTTTTATTTTCTTGGTTGGTTTAAGCACAGTTGCTTAAACTAAAAATTAACTGACTGCAAATGTAACAGAATATTCAGGACATTCATTGCACCTAAGCTTAGCTTTCTGAAAGCTAGGATCTAATCTGTGTTTAGTCACAGGAGAAATAAGATGCACTTCTAAAAACTGTCTCATCCCACGTGTGAATCATCGTGCCTTTTTACATTGCTTCTGTTGGGAGACCCCATGAATAAGCTCATTATTTCTTAGTCAGCTAAAGGTATGGGAGATCATTTTTTCCCTGAGTAGTAACCATTCTGAAATCATGCAGGTACCAAAACTCTTCCAACTGGTATAGTTTTAGCTGATAGGAAAATAATTCAGGTACCTTGCCTTTTCAGTGACTCCCATTTGCTGATGAACATCAATAAATTCCATGAGTTGCCTTTGTAACATGTTTTCCTTTCCTTCAATTTGCTTAATAAAATCATGCTGCAAAAGACTGGATACTGTTGGGCGCTTCTCATAATCTTTAGTCAAGCACCTGTACTGGCAGAAAAAGTGTATGATCATTCAGGGTTCACTGTTAGGTTTCAAAACACTTGTCTACAGTTTACAGTTTTTTTTTGTACTCTATAATGAGATATTTATCTAATCACCACAGCTCTAAACTGAAAGGTTTCACAAAATAGCTGGGGCCAAGGAGTTAAATTGTTGCATTTTAAATCTAAACATTCTCTAAAGCACTACTAGAAAGAATATCAGAAACATTACATGTGTTAAAAAATGAGGTTTTAAACTAGGAGAGCATATGCTGATTACACCTCAATTGAAGCATTCATGTTCATAGATTATAGTAGTCAGGCAAACATGGGAACATTTCACCTGAAGCCCATGAGTTTGCCAAAAGCTTAATATAAAAACATATTTATTATGTATCCACAAATGAAAGGAAAAAAAAATAAAGATAAAAACATTTCTCTCTGCTTTTTTCTTTAATTTAGGGAAATGAAGAAGGTAAAATATTGGTAGTAACAGATTTTCACAGACAATACAAAGAAATTTTACACTTGACATTTACACATGTTCCGTACTCAGGTAGAGCGGTCTCAGTTGTTACTCACTTATTAATGAAGTCATTGAATTCAGATGACCACAGTTCAGGCTGCTGTAATGTTGGAGGTGGATTCCTGCAAAGGTCAGTATGATGATGAGTTAGTAAGTTACTCACTTGACAAAAATAAGGTGAGAATGAAGATTGAGTAATGAATTTTAGAAGGGGCACTGAAAAAAAACTGATTTCCACTGGAAAAAGGAAGCATGGATAGATGATACCATGTCATTGATTCTCCTGCATTACATAACTAAGAAGGAGAAAGCACATCAAGATGATCTACTAAACAGAGCTAAGAATTACTGTAACTTTTTAATCAAATAAAGGAAATGAAACTTAACAATCGCTTTCTCTTTTCAAACCTGAAACCATATACCTTTTAAAACAGAATTTCCTTAAGAAATTCTCTTTCAAATTTTCTAAGGAATTATTGCATTAATCAGACTGCTGAACAAAATCAGATTGAACTAGTTTTTTAATTAATTATTTCATCAGAAGGTAATCAGAAGTCAAATGAAAAACTAAATACATATCAATGCATATCTACTGTAAAATAAACACTATTTTCTTCTTTTCATTTATTATTTATTTCAGGTATTAATTCAATTCCATCTTCCTCCTCTCAAATAAATCTGCTATTCTCACTGAGTGTAGACACAAGCAAAGAAAGAAAGAAAAAAAAAAGGGAGACAGAGAGGGACCTATAGAGATGTGACTCTTTCTATCTATGTTCAATCTTTATAGCTTCTTAGTGATGCATGCGCTCTAGCACCTCTATATTTTACTTAATGAAATGAAGAGGTATCGATAGGCAGAAAGGGCAGGTGCCCAAAATTTTTAAGGGTAGAAGCCAGACGTCTTCTTGAAGGCCTCCGTTCAGGCCTACCTGGCAGTTTGTCACTGCTCCTTCCCTAGCAGGGGAAGGTGAGAAGAGCACTCCTGCTCTGCTTCAGTGACAGTTGAGCCAAGTTTTCTTGAAATACAACTGATGGTAATTTAAGCTAATTTGGGTATCTTTCCGCAAAAAAACATGAAGTACTCATCTGCTACATGGTGTTAATTACTGTGGTACTAACTAGGTCAATGGTTGGAATGAAATCCACAAACTGCTGTATGGTCATACATACCGTCTTTGAGACTGAGCTCCTTGTAAAAGCTGTAAGTGGCACTTTGGGTTCTCCTACCTCCAGTTTCAAAGACAGCACAAAAGAAGTAGCTAGATACACTGCTGGAGGACAGTAACATTGCAAGAGGCAGAAGCAGCATAAGTTGATGGTTTGGGGGGGATGTAGCATAAATCTTCAAGGGATGTAGCAGAAATCTTGGAAACAGTTGTGATGTCTCTGACAAACTGGCAGACTGTGAGTTTCTATAATAATGCATTCTAACAGAGTATATGGAACTCAGCAGAATCCTGTCCTCATTTATCCTGGCAGCAGCCCATGTAGGGGAAGGCTCTAGGGCCTTTTCTCGAATATAGCCACATCAGCTCCGAACTTCTGCATGTGTTTCTGCTGGAAGCAGAGTCCATAGAAAATACATCTAGACAAAGTATTTCTAACCTTCTCCTAATTCACAACAATATGAAGGAGCTGTAGAAATTTATGTAGTCTAAGTGTGAACAACATAATAGTTAAGTGAAAAAAAAATCAGACTAACTGGGCAAAAAATAAACATATCATCATACTACCTTGGTATTTTGAAAAGTGCCCTCATAGGGTGCAAATCAGCAAGGGGTGGATCTCCATCTCCCAGCTCTATTGCAGTAATACCCAGCGACCACGCATCACATCTGGCATCATAGGAACTATCTAGCTGCTGCTCACAGGCAATCACCTGTTAGAGTAAAAGATTAGAATGGTCATTGGATCATCAAACATCTAAACCTAAGAGCACAGCACTATGCAACCACAACTGGAGGACTCTTTTATTGAACAGAGATACAAATTAACAGAACTACACACATTTAGCAAGTCAAGGCATCCTGTTTCTGAAAAAGAAATGTTTAAATCAGGGAAAAGATGGCTCTTGTGAACACCAGACTGCTGTCTGATCAGGTGCTACCTAATCTGACAAAATGGAGGAAATTCTCGACATTTTCAGCGGAAGATGATAAACTGCATCCTATGGTTCAGGAAGAGGAAGAAAAAGCAACTCAACCTGCTCTATGGAGTATTCTTGCAAAAAGAAGTAATGCAGCCATACAGCTCTGTAGCAAATGAAACAAGCAGGAAAGCAGAAGTTGAATTCACTATATCACATTGTTTCCTTATGTTGACGTCTTCAAAATTAAGCCAAATTTTCCAAAGCTTGCTTGCCACTGGATTGCAGCAAATTTCAGCTCTTTCACACTGCCAGATGAACCCTGAATTTTTCACTCAGCTAGTTCCAGTGTGGTTTTCCTATAAACAGTGTAATTTCACGTGCTATAACTTTATTCATAACTTTCTGCTTCAGTTTAAAACATCTATTTTATAGCACATGACATTTCAAAAGACAGTAAGCTCCAAAGACACATAATATGTTTTATTTATTCATAATAACTTCTTCCTTCCATCTTTTGCTAATAGCTTTGTTAGAAATTTTCCAGGTGGACAAACTCAAAATCAACGCTAATGTATCACAGGGCTTCTGCCAGTCACAGGGAGAAGCCTGAACATAGTTTCAGAGCATGCAAGGCTGGAAAAAATCATTAGCAGTATTCTTTCTTCCTAAACATTTCAACGAGTGATTCCATTTCCTGCTCTTTGTAATTTCAAAAATAAACTCCCTTTTAATTTAATCTTTGCCAACATGTAACAAAATGGGTTTAAAATATTTTTTAAAGGACATTGGTAACCCATTTGGTGAAAGCTCTAGGAATCCCAAAGAAAGTCAAAGAAAGAGCAGAAATGCAGAGCGCAGCAGGACGAACGCCACTCACAAAATGTTATGAAAAATAAATCTAACCTCTGGAGCCATCCAGAAAGGGGTGCCCACGGACGTGTTCCGACGGAGACGAGTGCTGGTCAGCTGTGCAGACACACCTAGGAGAACGAAGCGAAGCTAAATCAGAGCAAATGCTATTTCCATTGGAGACAGTCCCTCGGAATGGTGCCATCCTCATCTTTTCTTGTCATGCTACAACTTCCTTTGCTGGCAAATGTCAGTTGGATCTTTCCAGTTCGCTGCTGAAGGCCGAATACTCTAAGGTATTTAGCACTTCAGGTTCTGCACATCTTTATTTCCAGTGATTTCAGAGATACAAAGATTGAGCCTCAGGTAAGTGTTTCAATAGTAATCTGACTATATTTTGAGTAGTTAATTACATTTTTTCCACATTCTGTTTTAGGAGCATAAAAACAGAATTAATAATCAGAGCAATAAAGTATTTAAGAAAAAAGTACTGTATCATATATTTTATTTTCTTTAAAGCTCAGTACTGAAATTAGATCTGTTTCATTATTTATATATTTTGGATTAAACATTATGAAAGATACTTATCCTCATCTGCTTTGCCATAACAAAGAAACAATAAAACAGTGCACCATCAAAACCTGTTGCAAGAACAGAAGTCTCTCCATTTACAAAGCAACACCAAATGCCTGCAAAATCAGCTTTGTAACATGAGCTGTATAGTTTAACGAATTAACTGTTTCAGGACAAGAGCTGGAAAGTGAATGCCAGTGTTTGTGGTTTTAGACTAAAAGTCATCAGATTATTAGGAATTCTAATGGACTGTGGTGACCTTCTGATCATGGCAATAAAGAACAGCCCACCACCAATTTGTTCTCTTGAAAAATTGATTGGAGCATTGATTGGAAATACTTCCAGTGTTTGCAAAATCAAGAATATAACACAGAGAAACACTGTCCCTCAGCCAAGCAATTCTTAAAATATAATAGATTTGTGAATCATTAATTAATTAATCATTAAGTTTGAGATCTGCCAGAGGATATCCTGAGGTGCTGATATGAGGTGCTGGATGGTAAGAAAGCTGCTCTTTTCTATTTAACTTTCAAGCTTACTTTTATTGACACTAAAGCTCAGCTGTTTTGCCTTCTTTTGTACTTCATACTCTCCCTATGCCATTTGATTATCCTGAACATGAAACTCCCAGCACAGACAATTTCATCTGTTTTTTATTCTAAAGTTGTTCACAGATAATCTGCATTTGTCCATCACAGAAAAGTATATAATCGCTGAAAATAAAGCAGTGAGAAGGTAAATCTGATTGGTAAATGAGATTTATCTTTGAGATAAATACACAGAAAGTTATTGCCTTTTTGGCTGGCTCCCTCCAAGCTCCCCAGCTTGAGAAAGTGTCTCACCCTCTCCTCCTGGCTGCAGAAGGTCCAGCACCCAGCATGATGGTTGCTCGCATCATGGAAAGTGGGACAACGTGCGTGTTAGCCCAAAGCCCATCAGCCATGACTCAGCTCAGCTAAAAAGGGCTTTTGCTATATCAAGGAGTTCTCTGAGGGGCAGCTTCTGGCTCTCGGAGTCTCTGGTTTTACCAAGCCCTCAGCAAAACATATCATTCAGAAAGGAAAGCGGAATAATACATCATCACGGGTCTGTCACTGTGGTAAAGATGCAACGTGACGCCACTGCATGACCCCTGGCTTTGAAGGGAGAGGAGCCACCTCCCTCCTCTGCCCTTGTTTATGCCATGGAATTCTCCTCTGCCAAACTCTTTCTTGCAGGCTTGGAGTAGGAACCAGGATTTGGATCCACCAGGAAAGAAAGGCACTAACTAAATTTTTACTATTCCAATGTGATTTTATAAATAATCATAGCTTTACATGGAGATAGAGGCAAAATACAAAAGGAACATTAATGTGCACCGTCTTCTCTGTCTATGTACTGTTAGGGCTTTTTCTCTTTAAACTGCAACTACTAAACAAACTGAAGGATTCCCTCCATCCCGCCTTTCTTCTTTATGTCAATAAAAATGCTGATTTAATTTGAATAGTTCATCTCTACTTTCTTTAGGCTCTTGTGTTTATTTTTTTTATTCTTTTACTTCTAGCAGTAAAGTGGCATTTCAATTTATGGAATATACATCTTATGACAAATGATATTTCCTTGGGCTTTTTTTTTCTGCATATATGGGAAAGATGATGTAATTCCACACTTAGTAACATTTCTTCCAGCATTTCAGTAACCAGTCAAGCATACAGCTGGCCAGCCTTTTTTAACTTGTATATTTTCTAATAATAACACTGAGTTCCTCCCCCATTCCCTTTACTACTGCTTTGTTGCAGAACTAATCAAATATTCTCCCAAGAAATGAGCAGCTTAATAACTAAGTGAATTAGTAGTACCAATGCACATCATGCTGGCTTTTATATGCATAAATGCTGCAAAGAAAACAAAGTCAGTTTATTTCTTCTGGTATATTCGGGCCACAGCTTACTAGTAAAAAATGGAAATTTCTTATTAGCAGCCTTATAACCATGAGTACCATGCAAGCTTTTCATTGCAAAAATTGGCACACTGGAAAAAAAAAAAGGGGAGCCCCCTGCTTATGACTTTAGCATTCCAATAAGAATAAAAAAAGGGCAGGAATAAGCTCTCTGTTATTAGGAAAGATTTGTCTCACAATAGCAGCAGATCTGAGTAGACACTGTTCTGATCCAATTTGGGAAGTTGTGCAAAATCATTTTATGATTATGTCCTATGACAAAGGTATGCAAGCGCACTGGTCCATGCCAATGGGAGAGCAGCAAGAGAAAAGGACATGCTTTAAGCTCTAGTGAATTCTACTAAGCTCACATTTGACACATAGCATAGAGACTTGCTCATCCTACCCACTATATTCATGCATGAAAACACAGACCTCACCCCCAAAAAGTTTAAACTCTAAATATCTCACTGCCTTTGGCCACATCTTTTTGCAGTTGTGCCTCCAGTGTTCATTCATTCCTCTATCAAAGTAACTCCTTTATGACCTTTGAAGTAGGAACCTGCAATTGAGCCATTCCGCAAGCTGGTCTTTGGACCAAACGCTACTCACACTGTTAACTTGGCTGACCTAAACAGCCAACATTTTTTCTAAATCTCTGAGAGCCTGCAGCAAACAGAGCAAAATAAACATCAGAGACAGAACCAAAACCTGAATGTTTCTCTTAGCTAGGAATGAGGAGGCAGGAAAGGCAGGAAGGATTTCACTCAACTGTGGTAGAGATAATTCTTTAAGAATTTTCTAAGATCTCTGAAAGCACATTTTCTGCAAAGCTGCTTTCCTGCAACCAGTCTCCAGCCTGTACTGGAGCATGGGGTTATTATTCCTTGCCATATTCAGAACTTGGCATTTCCTTTTGCTGCGTTTCATGAGATTCCTCTTGGACTATTTCTCCAGCCTGTTAAAATCCCCCTGAATGACAACCCGCTGGTGTATCAAGCACTGCTACCAGATTGTATCATCTGCAAACTTGCAGAGCTGCACCCTGTCCCATCGTGCAGGTCATTAATGAAGATACTAAGTGGCACTGGCTTCCAGGAAGGTGGTGGTGGGGCGTCAGCTACGAAGGCCTGGCCTCTAGCTGGTCTTCGAGGCATCATCACAACTCTTGATTGAGCCTGGAAGTTCAGCCAACTTTCAGTTCATCCCACACACTACTTCAGTTTGTCTAAAAGGATATTATAGCAGACAGCACACCACCACCACTGTTCTCTTCCTATCCTCCAGGACAGCCTATGGCAGAAGGCTGTCAGGTAGGTCAAGCATGATTTTGTCTTCATAAATGCAGCTGACTACTCCCCAACACCTTCTTGTACTTAATCTGTTTGGGAAGGATTTCAGGATTATTTGCTACACCATCTTTGCAGCAGCCAAGGTGCGGCTGTCCTGCCGGCAGTTCCCTGGATTCTCCTCCTTGAAGGCAGGATTGACATTTTCTTTCTTCCATTCCTCAGAACCCTCCCCCTTATTGCCACGTTTCAAAGACTATGGAGAGTGACACTGCAATGAGACTGACCAACTCCCTCCCTTACTATTCATCTGTGCATCCCATCAGGTCCCATGCATATATGTCCATCCAATGGGTTCATAAATTCCCTAACGTGATCCTCTCCCACAGAGGGTAACTATTCTTTTTTCAGTCTTTTGATACATAAGACAAGCTAGACCCCTTAGCCTCTGACGCTGTTTGCACGCTTTCTCTGAGGACCCCAGCAGGACAGGATACCATGGGCTGCCCTCCACATGCTCCTAGCAGAACGATTTGGCACAAGGCTGATGATTCTAATGAAATATCATGCTTCAGGGCTTCAGCTGGTCTCCTGAAGGGAGGGCAAGGAACATTTGTTTGCCTGATGCACAATTGACCAGATGTATTCAGAAGGGAGAACTAGTCTTCTCTAAAGCCTTAGGGATTTGGGAAGCTACACACAATCTGGTGCAACATGCTGGTGAGGAAAATCCTCCTTTTTAGATGTTGCATTCCTTACATGCTTGGACTCAAATTGACTGCCACTTTTTAAGTCCAAAAAAGGAATTTACCCCTGTATGACTGGAAGAAACATAGGGGATTTTCTCCTTGTTACATGGCACCTTTGCTTACTAGGATTATCTGCATACTGGCAGCAGCTATGCTGATGAGACAGAGTACTTTAAAAAAAAAAAAAGTAAGGACTGAAACACTTCACTGCAAACTGATTCAGTGGGTTCAACTGACAGGTAAAAATGAACAGGTGCTAGAGCAGGTGAGACTATGGGTTTTCTAATAACCTGCTCCTAATTTTTTTTAAAAAAATTGTTATGAAGCAGTGTGTGAACAAGTGAAGGCCTCTGAAAAATCCAAAAGTTCTGAGAACTAGAGGGCATTCAATGAACACTACATAGAATATATAGGCCATAAGAATGTAGGAATGTTTATCAAAAAAAAAAAAAAAAAAGGACTAGAGATATTTCTACCCAACTGGTTTTTGAATTACACCAAGGACGAGTAGTTATGGGGCTGTTTTAGACAATTCTTTGCAATTCAGTATTGCTGCATTTCATTTCTGTACACATGAAGTGAATAACAGAAGATGTTCAAAG